ATATTTGTGTATATATACACGTATGTGTATATATATATATATTTGTTGTTGTTAAGTGCCATTGAGTTGGTTCTGACCCATAGCAACCCTGTATAGGGTTGCTGAGGAGTGGCCAGTGGGTTTGAACTGCTGATCTTAGGATTCAAATTGACCTTAAAGTCCAGCACATTATCCCACAGTGCCACACCAGCATTCCAAGTTAAAGGGAAGAGAAAAAAAAAATGTATATATACACACACACTGTTGAACTTGGCCCTATTTTAAAAATAGAGCCTTTTCCAGTGTTCAAATAAGTGACACCACAGCAATGCATTAAAACATGGGGCTGACGTAGAAATTTCAGGGTAGGCAGGAACTCCCAAACATGGAACGGTACCATCTCTTTCATGTGATGGACACAGGGACCATTTTCTATATTCTTTTCCTAGACTTTGTTTATTTATAAGCCATTCATTTTTACTGCCAGGATAAAACAGTACATCGCAGTCCTTGTAAGGGTTCACAGGACTGCACCTGCTTCACAGTTCAATTTTTCTTGATCCCAAACTTAGCCAAGCTCATGGTAAGGACTTCCTTCATCTTCACCTCCCAGTCCTGCTATTTCTACTACTACTCTTACATTTCCCCGCAGTATTTCAAATCCTTGGTCTTAAAACAAGCATACTCATTTGTATGGGCCCTGGGGCTTACAAAGAAGAAGACAGAAGGAGAAGGAACAACCAACCCCTTCTGGGTCTTACCTTGAACTGAAGACTCCAGAACCAGGATAAGGGAGAAAGCTAGGACCAGCCGGCTGCACTTGAGAGCCCTCTGCATGGTGACCAGCACACTCCAATTCCAGCCGCCTGCGCTCCAACTTCACAGTTAAGAAATGAAGTAGGGTGATCTCTGTCCCTTTTAGAAAAGGTTCCAAAACCTCAAACCCTCCCAGCACACACGTCACAATTTCCTGAACAAAAAGATCCACACATCAAAACCAAAAAAAAAAAAACCACCCAGAAGCAAAATAACTACTCATACCCATTATGAAACTGTGTTTGACTCTCCCTCCCAGGCCTGCTTTTTCAAGTTTGTTTTTTGCCACTTGCTACTTAAAATTATTTTCCCCTTGAAACAGCAAAATCAGCATCCAGGACAGTTTGTTTTTACTTTTTTCAGGAAATAATCTAAACAGGAGATTTGCTAACATTAAGAAGCCACTGCTCTACTGATGTGAGATAAGGCAGCTAGCTACCTTTCCATCACTGAGGACTAGCAACATAAAATCATCTTCATTTTCTTTTTCATCAAGAGCAGCATAGTTCACTGAACCAAGCCTGAGAACTGAACCATCAAAGCTGCTCTACAAAAATGAATTGTTGTGTTTCAGAACATAATCTATCGGATCCATCTACTTCAAGAATCTACAAAGAACTTGCTAGAATCTTTTACATTCCTGGCTCCTTCAAACCAAGTATTTCTTATGATCAGATTCCATTTATATTTTGATCTTTCCCCCTGGGAAAATTACCCAACTTGATATTTTAGTTCTTCTTGTCTGGAATGAGCTGGAAATCAGGAACAAGGTTAGGTTCTCCTCTTGGGATGATGTTGGACCTCAGAAAACATATAACCAACAGCCCCCTGGAAATACAGGAAGCGCATTTCCCCTGGTTCCTGGGATGGTGTGCAGTTTTCTGGATGACTGAAGAAAACCAGGTAGAGGTTCCAGATTAAAGTCACACAATAAATACAAGAGTTTATCACACATCCTTCCTCTGGGGGGCATGTACTTGTTTTTTTTTCCTCCTCAAACTTCTTTTGAAAGTAAACCACTTTTCATTTCAGCACCATCTGACCTAAGACTGCCCCCAGACAGCTCAAGACTCAGGCCCTCTTTCCATTTTCCTGGTCACTCTTGCCCCTTCTTTGATAGGAGGGAGGAGTTTCCCTTCCCTTGTTTTAGACTTCCTGCTGATTCCTTTACCATTTCCTGATAAGAGCTGGCCTCAGAATTCAGCCGCTAAGTAGCTGTGGTGGAAGGACCTAAGGCTGAACATTTAGACTCTCCTCCCAACCAGTCAGAAGTGCGCCCTGCCTTCCAGGGATTCTCCAGATGATGGCAACCAGCCCTGAAAATGAGAAATCCTATTTACTCTCTGTTATGAAATCCTGATTTCAACTTGAAATATCAGCCCCTCATCTTTGGTCACTTTTAAGCCTAACCTCCAATTTAAAACATTGGCATTAGAACAATATGTTGTTGTTGTGAAGTACCGTCAAGTGTCAAGTCGGTTCTGACCCACAGCAACCCTGTATAGGGTTTCTGAGGAGCTTCTGGTGAGCTTGAACCGCTGACCTTGCAGTTCAAATGGCTTTGCAGTCTGGCACATTATCCCACAGAGCCACACCAGGACTCCGATATAGTTCCTGTCAAACTCTCAGAGCTTATTAGAGCTTGTGTTTTAAAAATGGTAATTTTAGTGGACTTTTCCATTTGAGTGTTGTTTTATTGTTGTTAAGTGCCATCGACTCATAGGGACCCTGTACAGGGTTTTTCATTTGAGTACTTCCTCCCTCTCCCCCTGGCTCTTGGTGATTTTTAAAATAAACTTTTGAGTATTCCAAAGCATTTACTCTTGTCCCACCACAATGACAGGTTTTCCCAAATAACTTTCCTCTGGTCTTAATTTCTTGTTCCTCTTTCAAAGGACACATTCACACCAGCAGCCAGAAGTCCTGGGTCCCAGTCCAGCTCCCTCATTTACCAGCTGAGTGATGCTGGACCACGTATTTATTCTTCGTGACCCCATCATTCTGTCAATGAAGTGGAAAACCCAGGAGAGAACATGGCACCCACTGTGAGGGTCGCTGTTGTTGGCTCAAAGGTTCCCTCCATTAACCAGAAGTTCCATGTTTCCCTGGAAACATCAATCTCTACCATAAGAATGCTTTCCATTAAACTCTAAAAGACACATTCTATTCCAGAATGAATCCTTTGTATTTACCAGGCAACCCCACATTCCGTTTCTGTGCCTGTGAAACAGATATCCTTACTTCTTAGCAATCACTCTGGAACCTAACAGAAATCTGTTCCTTGTTGGCTAAGAAAGTCATGTAACTCTTCCAAAAGGAATATAAACATCACTTCTTCACTAGCTATTGGTTTCAGGGTGGTGTTTTCAAAAGAGGAATCTATTTTGAGAACTTGAACCTTCCCAGCACAACTCAGCAGAATGTTTCAGACAGACTGAGGTTTTCAGAAGAGACACTGAGAACAGTACCAAACTCCTCCAAGGGTCGGCTTCAAATATTCACTTATTTTCTAAACGCCCATGTGAGATCTCACCACACAGCCGCTTCTAGGACTTTTCCTGGGCTCTTTCTTGAGAGAGTGTTGACTCTGACTTGGGCATTGCATCAAGAACAAACAAACAACAACAACAAACACAAGCAGATAGATCCTGAACCAAATCACGATGTCTCTGGATACTGAAATGATGACTATGGCAAGGATTTTTGTTTTCTACTTGAAGGGTCCTTAGAAGTCATCTAGTTTAACCATTCAAGCATAAAAAATGGGAATCCAGAAAGATGACCTGACTTACTCATGGCAAATGTCAAAACCAGGTGGTTAAGTGTTAAAACCAAGTCTAAAATTCATTTTCTAGTTCACAGTTCAGTGATGGATGAGGAATAAAAGGTAAACAATATTGAAGATTTACTTCAAAATGATCCAATTTGAGGAGGGAAGATAAATCCGGTGTAGTGCTAGGTTGATGATTGCTGAAGTTGAGTAATGGGTAAACAGGTGGTGGTTCATTATACCATTTTCCCTATTTTTATATATGTTTGATCATTTCTACAAAAAAACACTTTTAAAATTCTCTTTTTAAAGGTATCTTTTTATCTTACTTGGAATTCATATAAACAAGAAAACATCTTCTGATTTAAAAAAAAGAAAAGAAAAAGTAGGAATGGAAAAAGGTATATTTTCTTTAAAATCAGCTCATTAATCCATGGATCTCAAACACCTTGGAATCTTTCAGGTCTAGTCTCATTTTCACACCCTCCCTTTTAGCAAATGGAGAGACAGTGGCCAGGACAGAAACAAACAATTCTTGATGCTTTCCAAGAGGGCAGCTCTCTCATTGTGTTCTTGGTCATCTCACCACTTAACAGTGGAAAGAACTCTGGGAGATGACACAGGCTCAAGAGCATCTCTGACTGGATCAAATGTGCCTCCTTTCCTAACCTCCCTTCTCATCACTGTAGCCACACATCAGCTTTCCAAGAGTAGGAACCCTCCCTTGTTCATGAAGGTCTCCACCGTCCTGGGCTAGAACCTTCTCTAGGTATTACCTAGAGTTTGGGAACTTGGCGTTTTAATCTTGGACTAGGACAGAGAAGAAGAAAACAAAGCACAAAAGAACTTCTCATGTCATTTAGATTGTAGTAGAATATAATACTCCAATTCCAAAATTATAGTGTTTTGAAGAACCAAGAGTTGAAGAGTTATGTGCTGAATATTACTGATAGACATACTGGGAACGGGGTTATTTCTCTTGGGAATATTTTCACAGGGATCAAAAACATTGGAAATAAATTTCTTGGGGAACATGAGTGAACATATGTGTTCGGGGGAACTTGTTGTTGTTGTTAGGTGCCATCTAGTTGGTACTGACTCATAGAATCAAGTACAGTTCTTATTTGACCTCCTAAGTCTTTTTCTCAAGACAAAATACCAACACTATTTTTAAGTTATTTGCATATATTTATTATCTTTTCTAATTAATAAATGTTTACTATAGAAAATGCTTCAAATGGTTAACTCACTCAGCAGCTAATGGAAAGGTTGGTGGTTTGAGTCCATTCAGAGGTGTTTTGGAAGAAGTGTCAGGTTATCTGCTTCCCCCCCAATCCACCATTGAATACCATATGGAGAACAGTTCTACACTGATATACATGGGCTTGCCATCAATTAGCATCTACTCACCAGCAACTGTTTTTTGTTTTCTTCTTTTTTATAGAAAAATATATGTTTGGGAGGGGTTGTTGTTGTTAAGTGCCGTTGAGTTGATTCTGACTTATAGCAATCTTGTATAGGGTTTCCGAGAAGCAGCTGGTGAGTTTGAACCAATGACCTTGTGGTTCAAATGGCGCATTACCCACTGAGCCATACCAGGACTCCTTGGGAAGGGGTTAGGTGGAAGTTAAAAGACAAACACTTGATTCCTTGTTATCTCCCATCCTGATTACAGTAATGGCTTTTGGTATGTCCTTTGTTGGATAATTTGAAGGGTCTCACCACTCTGTATATAGTACACCGGGTTCTCATCTTCCCTCATTGCCTTTATTTTATACCCTATCCTGTGGCACTGGAGTCCTGGTGTGGCACTATAGAATAAGCACTGGACTGCTAACCACAGGGTCAGCAGTTCAAACCCACCAGCCACGTCTCAAAAATGCTATGCAGGTTTGCTATGAGTAGGAACCCACAGTTGTTCCTGGACCAAATTTAGCACTCCATCCATAATTCATCCATTAATTCTACTCCTTCTGATTAGCCTTTAGAGATAAGAAACTATCCAAGTTCCCAAAACTCGGTGACAATATTTCCCAGGCTTTACCTCACAACATTATTTCTTACTCCTAAGAATATACATAGAATTTTGAAAGTTCACTAGTAAGATGGAGGACTAGGTAGACACTCTACATGGATCATCTACAACAAAAATACGAGAGACCAAATGAAACAGACACAACTGAAAATTCTGGAACCCAGAACTTTGGAGGAAAGATTAGAGAAGTGGAATGAGCGTTTGCTGGCAGGAAAA